GGTCTGGGTATTTTTTCTTCATATTGTCTTCTTTTTCCCATGTTGCATGGATACCGCCATGATTTTGCTACTCCACCTTCACCAATAAAATTTCTTTGTTTCTTAGCTTCTTGATCCGACGGTTAATAATCTGGATAGGTCATTCTTCATAAGTATAGTCATCACTCAATAACATGTGAGTAAGCTGAATAACATAGAAAGGATCCCGGAGACAATCCCGCAGCATTAAAACAAGAAATACATTATGCATATGCTCCATTTCGAAAGTGTAATAACCCTCACCACTGCTTACCGATAAACACTGATTACCGTTAAACTGAACTGATTATGACTGTTCACCAATAAAATTTCTTTGTTTCTTAGCTTCTTGATCCGACGGTTAATAATCTGGATAGGTCATTCTTCATAAGTATAGTCATCACTCAATAACATGCGAGTAAGCTGAATAACATAGAAAGGATCCCGGAGATAATCCCGCAGCATTAAAACAAGAAATACATTATGCATATGCTCCATTTCGAAAGGGAGAGCTATCTGATATGCCACTGAATTAATCTTTTCAATAATCTCATGCGACCCAATGTACCTCGGCGCTAATTTGCCCTTGGTTTCAAAGCGAGTCTGCCCTTTCATTGGTGTCACCTTAATAAAAACATGATCGCCCACTTCATATTCTTTATCTCGTCTTCGAACATCCGCGTAACTTTTCTGTCAACTTTGTGGGGTTTTCAATAGCTGCTGAATTAGCTTCATTTTTTATGTTGTTTCTTGCATAATTTCGAGTCTGAGTAAAGGCCAATCTCTAAGTTTTTCCCAACAAATTGGTGACCGACATGTTCTGCCATATAACACCTTGTATAGTGCCATACAATGCTTGAATGGAAACTATTGTTATAAGCAAATTCGGCTAAAGGCAAATGAGTTTCCCAATGTTCTTGAAAGTCTAGCACACACATATGCAACATATCCTCTAAAGTTTGGATTGTCCTTTCTGATTGGCCATCGGCCTGTGGATGATATAAACCAGTCAATTTCAATTCAGTCCCCAATGCATTTTGCAAACTTTGCTAAAATCTTGATGTGAATTTAAGTCCCTTTCAGAAACAATTGACACAGGCACTCTATGCAATCTCACAATCTCGTTAATATAGATAGCAGCCAAATTATCCGCATTATAAAATGTTTTCACAGGTAAGAAGTGAGCTGATTTAGTTAAGTGATCAACAATTACCCAAATCAAATCCATACCTTTATTGGAGCGAGGTAGTCTAACAATGAAATCCGTAGTGATATGCTTCCATTTTCACTTTGGTATTGGTAGTGGCTGAAGCAATCCCATGGGTCATTGATGCTCGGCTTTGACTTGTTGGCATTGTAAACACTTAGACATGAATTCAGTAATTTTTTTCTTCAAACCCGACCACCAGAAATTTTGCTTCAAGTCTTGATACATTTTTGTGTTACCCGGATAGATAGAAAATTTTGAACTATGAGCTTCTTGTATAACTCGCTTCTACAAGTCAACATCACTCAGTACACGTAATTGGCCTTGAAACTTTAGCACATCATTCTCAAAAATGAAACCCAGTCTCGGTTTAGCTTCTCTTTCTTCAACAACTTTCTTCAGAAACTCATCTTGTAATTGTTTTTCTTTAATTTCTTCAAGTATTGCCAGCCATATAGATATAGCAGCTAAAATCCCGCCTTGTTTTCGCAAGACAATTTCAACTTCAAGTGTTTCAAGATCACGTAACAATGCTCTTTGCCCGGTGAGTAGACAAGCAAAATTCCCAATTGATTTTTGACTAAGTGCATCTGCAACAGTATTAGCTTTCCACAGATGGTACAAGATTTGCAAGTCATAATCTTTTATTAGTTCCAGCCATCTCTGTTGTCTCATATTCAACTCCTTCTGGGTAAAGAAATACTTTAAACTTTTGTGATCCGTATAAACTTCGCATGTTGCCCCATATAGGTAATAGCAGCAAATTTTCAATGCAAATATCATGGCGGCAAGCTCTAAATCATGAGTCGGATAATTCTTTTTGTGCGGTCTCAGTTGTCGAGAAGCATATGCTATCACTTTGTCATTCTGCATTAACATACACCCCAACCCTTTATAAGATACATCACTAAAAATAGTAAATCCATCCCTACCTGAGGGTAAGGTGAGAATCGGTGCAGTCACAAGTTCAGTCTTCAATTATTGAAAAGCTAACTCTCTCTACTTAGTCTATTCAAATGGTACCCCCTTCTGAGCCAACTGAGTAAGTGGCAAAGCAATCTTAGAGAAATCTTTCACAAATCTTCAGTAGTATCCAGCCAAACCCAAAAAACTTCGGATCTCGGTAACACTAGTTGGTCTAGGCCAACTCACAATGGCTTCTATCTTCTGCGGATCAACTGAAATACCATCTTTATTTATCACATGCCCCAAAAACATAATGCTATCAAGCCAGAACTCACATTTTGTTAGTTTAGCATATAATCTCTTCTCTCTCAAGGTTTGCAAAATAATTCTCAAGTGATGTTCATGTTCCTCTTTGCTTTTGGAGTAAATCAGAATATCATCTATAAAAACAACCATAAATTCATCGAGGAATGGCTTGAAAATTATGTTCATAAGATCCATAAATACAGCAGGCGCATTAGTAACTCCGAAAGGCATAACAAGAAATTCGTAATGTTCGTACCTTGTTCGGAAAGTAGTCTTTTCAATGTCTTCAGCTTTGACTTTCAATTGGTGGTATCCAGATCTAAGATCAATTTTGGAAGATACCTGGGCACGGTGCACTTGATCGAATAAGTCATCAATGCGAGACAACGGATACTTGTTCTTTGCGATCATGTTGTTTAATTCATGGTAATCAATGCAAAGCTTTAATAAGCCATCCTTCTTTTTCACAAATAGGACTGGAGCGCCCCACAGTGATGTACTAAGCCTGATAAACTTCTTGTCCAATAACTCTTATAATTGAATTTTCAGCTCTTTCAGTTCAGTAGTCGACATTTGGTACGGGGTTTTAGAAATCGGCTGTAATCAAATCCCCTAGCAAATCATCTAGAAAAACATCTGAGAATTCTCTGACTATAGACATACTGTCCACATTAGTTTTATCAACAGCAGGCACAGTCAACACACAACACAAATACCCTTTATATCATTTTCTAATCAATTTGCATATTTTCATAGATAAAATCAAATATGGGGGAGGTACAACACCAATTCCATTAAATATGAATTCAGGCAATCCAGGTGGGCAGAAAACAACTTGTTTGGTTACACAATCAATACTGACATGATATTTCATTAACCAATCCATCCCTAAAATTACATCAAAATGATCAAGATTTAGAGGCAACAAATCAATATATAAAATCATATCTCCAACACCAATCTCACATGTAGGATACATATATGCATAAGTCATAGACCCCACAGTAGGTGAAGGCCAAGCTAATAAATAATTCATGGGTTTCAATGGTCTAGATAATTTTCTCGAAAAAGCATGTGGTACAAATGAATGCGTAGACCTCGAGTCAATCAAAATATAAGCGTTTTGAGCACAAATAGGGAGTATACCTGACACTATTGTCTCAGTATTTTGCATATCTCCTAGTACAAGTGCGAAAACTAGGCCTTCCCTTAAAGTTTCTCTCTCTGTAGCTTTAGAATTAGGTTTTGGTGTAGCGGGTTGATGCTGCAGCACTTGCTACGGGTCTATTAGTGCCTTGAGATGGGAGAGGACAATCTTTGACTATGTGGCCCACTTTGCCACACCTATAACATGCCTTGGAAATTTTGTAACAAACCCGTTTATGTCTTCTACCATATTCTGGACAAGGCGATGTAGAATTGTTCCCTTGACTAGAACTACTCGTCCACCCCATATTTTGTTTCTTATTTTGTGAGTTGTTCTGCTCTTTTTGAAATTAAATGTTTGTCTTTTACTCCTCCAGTCAGTCACTGGTGTCTTAGCCTGCTTTAAAGCTGCAATATTTGCCTCAAACATGATAGCTCTATTAAGAACATCCACATATTTAGTTAATTTGAGAACATTAACCAGATCAAGTACTTCCATATTGAGTCCACCCTCAAATTTTCTGGCTTTCTTATAGTCAGTATCTACCTACTGAACGAACTCTGTAAATTTAGCTTCATATTCGGCCACGGACATAGTACCCTGCTTCAACTGTTCAAACTCGGATACTTTGCAATCCTAAACACATTGGGGAAAATATTTGTCATAGAATGCCTCCTTGAATTGAGCCTAAGTCATAGAACCATTGTTGTCCCGAGTGAGCATCCACCATTGCCTTGCCTCTTTTTGTAACATGAAAGTAGCCAATAACACTTTTGCGCCTCAGAACATGGGAATACTTCAAACAATTTTTCAGTTTCTAAGATCCATGCTTCGACTTTCAGTGGCTCACGACCTCCTTGGAACGTTGGTGGTTTCATTTTGTTGAACTTTCATGTTAGGGCTATGATGTCATCATTGTTGCTTGACTCATTTTGAATTGGTAACGAAGGAGGAGGTGGGAGCTGTTGATTCTATTGTTATTACCTTAAAGATTCAGTTAATAGTTCAACCATCCTTTCCAACTGTGCAATTCTTGCATCTGATGATTTAGTTTCATCTCCATTTCTTGTATTCTCCATTGCACTATAAAAACCATGGCAATAATAAACATAGTAAAAATGGTTCTCATTTTTATGTTAACACATACATACAACATATCCACACACACTCACCCATACTCATGCTATGCCCTAATTTATTTTCTAAGACATCCTATAGCTCATTTGGACACGTGTGTACAGTATAACTCATGTTTTGATATCACTCTTTCACAACCCAAACCCACCCCTATAGGTTTAGTGTCGTAACCGACCAGTAATCCGTAATTACTAAAGGCTTGCTTAAAAGTAATACAGTAAACGGGGCTGACGGAAGCCAATACAAAATAAATTAGAACATTCAATGAGATGTAAGGACTTAAATGAACAAATAACTTTGATATATACATAAAAACTTAAGTCCATAATACACTTATGTACAAAATGAAAACATGACTTAGGGAATTAAATTCCATCATCAAAAACTAGTATTAACAAAAGTCACAAAACATTCATAACACATTAACATAATGCCAAAAGGGTGAATTCTGAACCACCCAATAAGCCTTAACAGTTGACGGTTTGGAACCTCGCAGTGAGGCACAGTAGTTAGCTTAACAAAACAGGGTTCGAGTCAATGCTGCTAAGTCTGATCCGGTGCTTGATCACCTACATACATATAATAAACAATAAGTTAGAGCCCAGTGAATAACAATTGTGTAAAGGAGTTATAAGTGATGTCTTTGCAGTGATTGAAACAGTCAATTTCATTAGTAAATCATTTTCTCAATCAGTATCGCATAACATATCAATCATTCGGAAATCATAACAGTCATACGTGGTACATCAAATAGCAAAACAGTATAGTAGGTCTTAAAGACTGAACAGTCATTTGGTGACCATCAATACAGTAAAAATAGTTCTAAAAATTGGAACTGAAAGAGATCTTTGTAACAGTAGCAGTAATAGTAACAGTAGTAGTAATAGTTGCTATGGATGCCGCGAGTAAAGTTCACAAAACAGGACAGTCATTCATTCAATAAACGCATTTCAGAAAACAATGCATTTCATCGATCAGAAAATAATTACAATTAAACATAACTTTATAACATTGTTATTCACAGTGGGCTCCCTAAATTACGTGCTTAAGATGTGACGTCTGACCTAAATAAACAAATTCAAGCACAACTCAATTACATCTAATTCATTCAATTGGTTCTATTCAGTTCGTTTGCTTTTTATTCGATTTATATTCATTGCTTATCTGTTTGGTTATAACTTTTTGTTCTTTATTTCATTTGTGTTCATGAGATGCATATGCATGTGAAAAACACTTAAAACCATGCAAACGGAGGCCCAAAAGTCAGAAAAATGAAGCAAAAATGAAACCGAGCCTATCCTGAAAATTGCACGTGCGGAACCACCACCACACGTGCGCCCGCACGTGCAATTAAAGCAGTAGCTGAGCTGAAACAGGGGAGCTCTTCCGCACGTGCGGGGCCTCAGGCTACACGTGCGGTTTGGGTTCAAATTCTTGTTCGAAAATTGCTCTTTTTTTGGCAATGTACTCATTTGCAAAGCCAATCTATTTTTCACATAATTAAACCCAAAAATCCATGGAAATAAACTTGAACTAGAATTTCTAACATCAAACCCAAATCAAGGCTTTAGAACTAAACTCAATTATTCAATTCAAAATCAATTTATTGAGGAAAATTATAGAGCCATGAAATAAAAATTTGAGAGCTTCAACTCAAGTCCTTACATAAAAATTCCTTTGATATCTTAAGCGGCCATACAAGAATTTAAGTGTATGAAATTTTTTCCATAAAATCATGCCATTTATGTTGCCAAATTAAGGGAATTCCTCCAATTCTTTTATGATCATACAAGTTTATATAGCTTTTCAACTTCTAAATCTTCTTACAAAACCTTTAATTCCTCAACAATTCATTCTATTTCAACTCAAATTCCAAAGGATGATAACTATGACATATCAAGTTCGTGAAATTAAATGAGAGTTCTTACCTTAATTGGTTGATTTATGAAAAATTAGCCCAATCTCCCTTGTTTTCTCTAAGCTTTCATCTTTTCTCTTCTTTGAAACCCTCTTTAGAAGTCTCTCAAAGTTTGTCCCTACAATATCCACTATCTCTCTCTTATTTCCTTTTTCTTTGTTTCAATTTGATAAATAGGATTGATGAAAATAATTGATCTCTAATTAATCTTAAGCCTTGATTAATTATATGTTCAATGCAAAATATATCAAATTCACTTAAATTAAATTAATTCTCATTATAACCTATTTTACTCTAAGCTAAACTAGACCAAACTTAGTTATACCAATATGAATTAGGCTCTAATTACTTATCCTAGTATTCAATTCTAACTTGTTTAAATTACTGAATCAGACAGGTTCATTTCATCTCTATACATATCTATTCACAATAACAATACAATGCATATAACACATGGCACCATAATTAACACATAATCACATGATCAACATTAATCACATAATTAGCTTAATTAATTAAGGAGGTGGTTGTCATAGAATTACATGCCGTCTGTAGCCACGGGTCGTATTTGTCACGAAGATGCTGCTCGTGACACCATTTATTGGTTCGGGAGCTGTTTTGCATTTTCACCCCCTAAAAGTCCTTTTTCGACTAAGTTTAAGACATTTTTCAACTCTAACTCTCAAAGTACGCGTGCGAATTATATGCCGTTTATGGCCGCAGGTCATATTTGTCATGAGGATGCTTCCCGTGACAGTCATACATTGGTTTGGGACTGTTTTGTTTTTTCACCCCCTAAAAGCCCTTTTTCGACTAAGTTTAAAGCGTTTTCGACTGTAACTCTCAATCTACGTGTTTGATTTATGTAGCATCAATTCACACAAGTCATTTTTTGTATGAGGAAGTTGCATGTTGCATCCCAACAGTGGTTGGGGGGCCATTTTGCATTTTCGCCCGTCGAATTTCCTTTTTTGACTAAGTTTAAGGCATTTTTGACTGTAACTCCCAATCTACTTTTCCTATTTACGTACCATCAGTTCTCACAAGTCATTTTTGGAACGAGGAAGCTGCATGTTACATCCCAACAGTAGTTTGGGGCCTATTTTGCATTTTTGCCCCACCAAACCCCTTTCTTAGAATAAGTTTAAGGTATTTTCAATTTTAACTCCCATTCTACATGTCTTATTTACGTACCATCAATTCTTACAAGTCATTTTTGGCACGAGGAAGCTGCCCGTTACTATATGTAAGGGTTGTTTGGTTATCAGGAAAAGAAGGGGCCAGAAAGCAAAATAACAAAATTAACTTAACATTGGAAGCCACAATGAAACAAATATGCTTTTGCTTCCAGTATCATCATATACAGAAGAAGCATTGCAACATATGCGTACCTTTCTAGCTCCATAGAAGGCTATTATTTATGAAGGGAAGCAAGGTTTTGCTACATACTCTTCAACTGCCAAACAAAAGAAAAGAGAAAAACATTATTAAAATAAATATTGAAATACACTAATCAGATAAATGTTTCAAGCATGACATCACCAAGTAACTTCATTTTTTGATTGTGTTTAATGATCAAAACCCAAATTCAAATACACAGTAACAATTCAAAAAATATAAATTTTTGTTTTAAGATGATCAGATCGCGAGCATAATGGTTCTTCTGGGGTGCCATTTATTTGGGGTTTGCCTCAAAAGTTGAGTATATTTCCAAACCTATATCTTACTTTAGTCCATGCCATTTTGTAATCAAAATAATGGTTCTTAATCTCTTACACAATTAAATTGATAATCAATATGATCGTAAATAAAGAAAAAGCCACAAAACAAAACATGATAATTGAAATCAAGAGACCCACATTCGGTTGACAAAGAAACCAGAACATATTGCCAACACTAGTTCCTCGGTAATATGTAACCTCTGTTTGGTTGCTGAGAAAACGCCGAAAAAAGAGAGAAAATCTTCCAAACCTGCAGATTTTAAAGATTTTCAATTTCTTTCACTTGTATCCATTGAATCTGCAACAAAAACGAAAGATAAGAGACCCAAATCATTAATCGTAAAGATCAATCATACCGAATTGAAATTTGGAGATAAAATACAAGATAAATTAAAGCAAACCTGTAATTCACCTGGGCTGAGTAGGTCACTGAGCAATGCGTGTGGAGAGAGAGAGGAAAGTCTTTTTGATAGGGAACACTGATAAGCTTTTTAGTTCAAAAAATTAACCTCCTGAGCCGCCACATACAATTGCTATTTTATATAGAAAGACAGACAACAAATACCAATTGAAAAAAACAAAAAAACAAAACAAAAAAAACAAACAAACACACCAGAGCAACAGACAAACAAAAGCAAAAAGAAACCAACAAAAGCAACAACAGAGCAACAAACAAACAAAAGCCACCCTAGCTAACCTACAATAGAGCAACACAAACAAACAGAAGCCAAAAAAAAAACCTGTAGCAGAGCAGCAACACAATCATATTACAAGCAAGTCAAAAAATGACACAAGAACAATAAGAATTTATAATAACAACGCCCAACTATCAGAATAAAATGATTTGAATAAATAACAAGATGCATAGAAACAAATATATGAATATTAAGCTGTTGTAACCGAAATATATGGCATAATAACAAAATCACTTAAATGAGTAGCCATTATTACGTTCAAAAGCAAAAATGGAAACACGAGTTGGAAACATTTGGTATATCAACAGAAAATCCAGAGAAATAAGCACATATCAGTATCAAAATCAAAATCATAGCCCAATCAAATTAGATGAGTCTGATGACAATCAAAATACATGTCATTGAACTGGACATAAACTACAATTTCCCCTAGAAAACCAGTATAACATATTAAAATTGAAACCAAATTCATATAAATTGATTCCATAAATTTGGTATATAATCCATTTTAACCACCAAAATTTGATCTTCTACATAAATATAAAGCAAAAAAAAAAAAAAAAAAAAAAAAAAAAAAAAAAAAAAAAAAAAAAGGAACTTGTAATCGAATTCCACAAATAAAATTCAGAGACAGCACCAAAAAGTTGAAAAAAGTCAAAATTCAGAAACAACACCAAAAATGAACAACACGAAAAGAAGTGGAGATCATATTCCATTCTTAGTTGTATAGATAGATAATGTTTAATTATCAACATGAAAAGAAAATAATCTATGTAATTTTTGTAAATACCGTATATGTATTGTAATAAGCAAGTAAAATTTCCTTGACCTATGTTGATCATACATGTGCTCTTGTTTTGTATTGATGTTCAAATATACTTTGGATTTTCCCTTCTATATAATCACGATTTGGGCCTCGGTCAATTTGGGGCTAGGTCGATTTACAGGTATGCGAATGGAAGAAGGCTGAGAGAGAGAGACACACACACACACGCACGCACACACAGGGACAGAGACAAAGACAAGGAGAGAGCAAAAGGCATACCAGGGATAATGCTCTAATGGTGGATCAACGGAAGTGCGATGGCGCTGCGACGCTGTAATGGCGGTGCGAGAGAGACTGTGGAAGGAGGAGACGCGTGAGAGAGAGAGAGAGAAAGAGAGAGTGAGCCAAAGAGTAACAGGGATCATGAGAGAGACACCAGCTTTCCAAGGTAATTTAGCTTTTTTTTTTTCCTGAGTCACTTCTTTCGTTGCCAAAAATAAAGAGCCGTAAATTTTTGCCAACTAAAATGTAGTTTCGTCGCAAATTAATTTAGGAACCCTCCAAAAATTTGAAATCCTCCCTTCAAAATTTTAAGTACAATTGCTGACTAAAATTTTTAATTTAGTAATTTTTTGGCTATTTGGCTAAAATATGAGCTAAAAAAAACTAGTATGTTTGGAATAATTTTTTGACTTTTTACAAAAAGATGTGAAAAAAGTAAAGAGAAAAGAGAACATTTGACTTTTTGGTATGAATTGTTGACTTTTTAGTTTTTTTAGTAACTTTTTGACTAAATGGGCTAGTTCCGAAACGAGGCCTAAAGGGTGACTAAATTTATTTTAGTAGCTAAATATTGCCGACTAAATAATTTTAGTCACGAAAAATAAATATTTACCGACCAAATATTTGGTCGCGAAAGAAAAAAGTAAAAATTATGTTATTTGATTAGCGACTAAATTATTTAGTAGGCAACAATTCTTATAACACGACTAAAATTTTTTTAGTCACTGAAAGTCAATTTTTACCGACCAATTTTTTGGTCGCCAAAGATAAAAAGTAAAAATTATGCTATTTAAGTGGCGATTAAATTTTTTTAGTAGGCAAAAATTACTATACCACGGCTAAATGTATTTTGGTCACCACAAATTAATATTTGCTGACCAAAAATTTCGTCGCAAAAGGTAAATAACAAACATTATGCTAGTTATTTGGCTACTAAATTTGTTTTGCTCGGCAAAAATTAGTATACCACGACTAAAATAAATTTTAGTAGCCTAAAACCTAAATTAACGCTAACCAATATTTAGTCAACTATTATGGCATATTTAGCGACTAAATTTCTTTTTAGTCGGCAATAATTAATATACAGCTACTAAAAAAAATTGGTAGCTAAAATCTTAAACAACTGACCGATGTAATTTTTAGTCACCTATGATACAACTTTTTAGTAGCCAAATTTAATCACCAAAAGTGTAAATTGTTATAGTGAACATTAATCCACTTGTCAAGCTCTTGTCCAGGAAGGCCATCAAAGATTCAATCCCCTAAGTGGGGGAAAAGAAATTTTGCAAAACAAAAACAAAAAACAAACATTAATTAGAAGTGGAATAAAGTGGCCACATAGAAGTGAGTCATCATGATCATTGTAATTTGTAAGGACAGTATTGTGTACAATGTACACAATATATATGTTTTAATTTATTAATTAATAATAAAAATAAAGTCCTAGGACCAAAATCAAGCCTCAACCACCTCTATGGAAGATTGCTATATATATAACCCATTAGCCTATACTTGGCCCCCATCTCCTCACAACAACTGACTTCTACATATATTCCAAACTAAAAATCCTCTATTCTATACACATATATACATATATATAACTTTCTTGATTTTCTTTCTTCAAATTTTGTTGAAGATAATTGAAGAAGACTATAGATGATGCAAGAAGAGAAGAAGATGAAGGTGAAGAAAGGGTGGTTGGCAGTGAGAGTTGGGTTAGAAGATGAAGATGGTGGATTCCAAAGATTTGTGATTCCAATATCATATCTCTATCATCCTCTCTTCAAGAGGCTTCTTGAGAAAGCTCATGAGGTTTATGGGTACCACACCACTGGACCTCTTTGGCTACCGTGTTCAGTTGATGACTTTCTCCATCTCAGGTGGCAGATTGAGAAGGAAGCCACCAGCAACCACCACCACCACCACCACTCTCATCACAATCTTTCTAGCTCTCTGTCCTTCCACTGTTAAAGATACAAGTTATATAGTACATATATATTTGGCTTAGAAGGAGCTTTATTGCCAATATGATGCTTCTCTCTCTCCCTCTCTCTCTTTTGTTTTTGTGGTAGTAATAGAAAGTGAAGAAGAAGAAGAAGAAGAAGAAAGTACCATCACAATTATAATCATCGACTTTTTTTTTTTGGGATGATCATGATGAGTGAAATTGTCATATATGATTGCAAGTCCTCTTTTCTTTCTTGAACACTTCAAACATAAATTGATGTTAATGGAAGAATCTTCAAGTATTATCAATGGTTTCTGATAAGATTGCCACAAAATTGTTGGTGTAAATCCTAACATAAATATAAATATTTATATTGTTGTATTCACAAAAGTCGCATTATATTATTTTTCTCTCCTTTCAATATGATAGAACTTGTTGAATTACATAAATTTGTGTGTTTGTGATTTATTTATTTATTTTATTTTTCGCAACAAAAGTTTTTTTTTTTTTTGGAGAGGTTGTTGTTGTTGTCTTCGTACCAACCAAACGCTACATAAACTGGATTAATTTTTAAATTTTCCAACCATTGATAGATGTTAAAACTGTTTAAACAGTCTGGCAAAGTTGAGAAGATAATGGAGAGTGTTGGGATATGCCTTTACTGATAGAAATTTTTGTTTTTTTTATTATTAATCCTTATTATCTCTATATATTTTTATATTTCGAGTTAATAATAAGATCTTTATTTTCTAATAAATAAAAATGAAAAGTGAGTGTTAGCCCCAGCACACCCAATAAATAAGAACAGAGAAGGGTGTGGTGGACTGGACTGTGGCCATTTTGTGTGGGTGCCTATCCAATGGAGGATCACCCATCACTCCTTTTGCCAAAAATATTATCTTGCTCTTGCTTTTATGATTTTCCAAAATCAATATATATGAAATAAATTCAGCAAGTAAATATATATGTTGTCTAATTAAACAAAATTTTAAAAATAGGGCAAAAAAATGTTAATAGATAGAATTCAAGTCTACACGGTTGTTGTGTGATCTATGCTAATAAATTGATTTATACGCAAAATAATTATTGAATTTTTTTTGAGGTCATGTTAGGCACACACAGATTGTGCAAAATTAATATAGGTGGCTTCAACAAATTTATTTTATCTAGTATATTTTTCCAATTTCTTTGCCAAAAAAAAAAATTATTCTAAAAAAATATTAAAATATACATATTAATAAGCAGCAAGCTAGCTAAAAAAATAAAATTAAGCCCTTCCCATATTAGATCATTGCTCATTAACATATATATTTTCTTTTAAATGAATTTATTTTTAACAATTCCCTAAAATTTCTAAAACGTCATCGAAATTTAGTTCCACAGGTGGACTATTGCACGTCACGTTGGTTTATGAATTAACCAATTAAGATTCAAACCATTGTCACGTCGTTGGTTTATTCTTGTGTCTTTTTTTTTCCTACAATTTTGTTTTTTAAAGAATCCCCCCCCAACCCACTATAAATGGTGGTGTATTCAAAATTTATTGGACTTTAAATTCCTCTAGATCAACAAATCCTTAAATGGTAAATAATAAAGTCCAAATGTTAGCACACTACACATGATTAGAAAGCTTGCCAAAGTAAAGTCAGGAATTAACAACTTGACCAGAAGACTCTATTGATTGGACTTGGAATGGTAAGCCTCCCACAACCACAAGATCATTAATGAAGGAAACTAGAAGCTTTATATATGTGTCTTAATTTCCTCCATTTTCTTGGCCACCAAATTAGGGCCTGCCCTAGAACTAGATTCCATCTTTTTCTACTTCCGACAAAGTTGCCACTAACACCAGTGGGGCTAGGGTTCATTAAGAGTTGAACAAATGCTTGGAGACTAGCAATCATTGCATGGGAGGAACAAGAACCTTTGGTTTGAACCACACTTTCATGGGATGACTTTAAATTTTATTCCTTGGCCGGTTTCCAGATCATGGTCCTGTTACACAGCTATGCATCTATCTGTACTGTATATAAAAGGAATGTCAAACTTGGTACAGATGTTGCGTTTTTTTAATTTCTTCAAAATACCTTCATGTAATTGCTCTGTTTCTTGTAATTCTCCAGATCCAAGTCTCCTATAACTAATGAAATTCAAATTCGACTCAAAATTTCTAACCTATAATAGCACACCCCGCTAGTAAATATATATTAAAAGGGGGTACAAACATTACGTGTGTGTTGACAGTAATATAAAAGAATTAGATCTGGAACAATTGAATTTGATAATAGTTAACTCAAGAGTTAGCTTTATATAATAGTATAGATATATATTTGAGAAGTTGAGCACAGTGATGCTACATGTACTAATTAATGTACACATTAGTGTATCAATTAGTGTTATGTTATTATTATTGACTCCACCTATTATACAAATTACAAATACTCAAAATCTCTAAAATTATACCACATCATCTGTCATTATAATAATTAGTACATTAATTAATATATATAATATTATTCTTTTGAGAAATAGGGCAAATAATTATAAATTTGTGAAGGTGTAAATGTAATTGTGACGTATGACACAATTATTTGCACCCTCTTACACTTACGATTTTGTAATTATTTAGTCCACATCCCACTGATTTGTAATTGCAGTGACCTCTTGGCAATGAAAACGAATGTAGTTAGTTTCATTAATATGTTAAAATTACATTGTGTTTCCGTAGATTTTATATTTGTATAACAATGTAACACATCTCGTTAAAATTCCATCAAAAGTTTAATGGAAGTTATAATGCCATCACCTTTTACTCTAATTTTTCATCCAAAAATATTAGAAATCTTAAAAATTTTACCAAAAATTTTATCAAATGTCTCGCAGACTTACCTTGTGTGGGTCTCACATTCATGTGAGACATTTGGTAAAAACTTTCGTACAATTTTTGAAATCTCTAATATTACTCTTTTTCATTATATCATATATCATATAATATATAAGTAAAGCAGTATTTTTTATTTTTGATCCTTTTTTTATTATTATTATTTTTTTAACGGTAAGTAGTGTTTTTGGTTGGCATACAGAATTCACTACATGTCTAAAAATTTGCAGCGTTGGGATATGATAAGAGGCATAACACATTTGGGTCTACTTTGTTTTCAGTCCAAGATCTAAATTGGAAGGTGATGATACTAAGTGAACGGGTCGGATTGATCCACGCTTCTCAAACCGTTGCCCGGGCGTCAAGCTCACAGAGAGACCTGTACAAGAGTTCAACGAGGAATGGGGAGTCCCCCAGCGAACCCTCCGACGATTAAGTTAGAGAAGGGAGAGGATGATGAAAATGTAGAGATAGAATGGTGATAGAGAATTTAACCTTTTTTCTCGTCTCAGAGACCTGCTTATATCCTTTGCTCATCATTTCCTTGTCCACTCTGAGTCGTCATGTTGGCCGAAAGTCTATGCTCTAGCTTGCCTTGTTCATAGTGGGGCTGTTATGTTCCAACATGAAGGGTTATTGCAATAAATGCTACAGGGGAACTCATTAATGGTTGATGTGTGGTGCAATAACTTTACAGGATCTTTGTCTGCTGATGTGACTGGTTCTGCACTTGCCAGATGTTTAGATGTCATTAGCGCTTGGTGTAGCGTTGGGTTCCAAGAATATTGAGCTTTAGTATTTGAGTCATTGATTGGGCCTTAAGTGGGGGGTCATATCCTTAATGGGCTTACCTATGCCAGTAGTCCCTCATTCCCAAGTGCAGCTTCAGTCCAACGAAGGGAATAAGAAAAAAAACGAGGGTTGTGACGATGGCCGAGTAGAGAGATCGACCATGAGGAGGGCCGACCGCAAAGGGTGGTCGGGTGGAGGCACAGACCGTGAGGAGGGGCGACTACAAAGGGTGGCCGAGTGAGAAGGTCAACTGAGAGGAGAGCCGACCGCGAGGGGTGACCGAGCGAAAAGGTCGATTGAGGGGAGGGGCAACCACGATGGGTGGCCGCGTGAGAAGGTCGACTGAGAGGAAGGCCAACCGCGAGAGATGACCGAGTGAGAAGGTCGACTGAGGGGAGGGCCAACCGCGAGGGGTGACCGCATGAGAAGGTTGACTGAGAGGAGGGCCGACCGTGAGAGGTGACCGAGTGAGAAGGTCGACTGAGGGGAGGGCCGACCGCGAGGGGTGACCGCGTGAGAAGGTCGACTAAGAGGAGGGCCGACCGTGAGAGGTGATTGAGTGAGAAGGTCGACTGAAGGGAGGGCCAACCGCGATGGGTAACCACATGAGAAGGTCGACTGAGAGGAGGGCCGACCGCGAGGGATGACCGAGTGAAAAGGTCAACTAAGGGGAGGGCCGACCGCGAAGGGTGATCGAGTGAGAAGGTCGAATGGCTGTGCGCGGGGCTCGAGAAGCGGCGGGGCACGTGGTGATGTGAAGTGGAATAGACGGGGTATGGAAATGGAGCAGTGGATTGTGGTCGTATATATGGCGGAATCCCATGGTGGGGGAGGCAATGCATTTTAATAAGAAATGAAGGGATAGGGTAATATAGGATGTTGAAAAAGCGGGTTTGGTAAAATTTTTGAAAATTTTCAAACTGGCGAAATTTAACCTTGACCCTTGGAATATAGGAAAACCGTGGGCGTTTAGAGTTGTTCGCTTTACCTAGCTTTTTGCAAAAAACCAACACGTCCCAGAAGTAAGCTCATTTGTTTCCAGTGATACACCTCTGCGACACTTCGCGAACTTCCTTGTGCCAACGTCTGAAGCTATACATAGACACGTAGGAGAGATGGCTCGAGACGAAGTGCCTACCATGAGACTAGACTCTTTGGGGGACGACGACGTAGTGGAACTAGCGAAACAGTACCGGGTGGAGCGAAGGGAGGAGAGAGGAGCGGGGCAAGTGGTGTGGGCCCGTCCGATGATGATGATTACCGTCGCTAGGCTAATTAGCCAAGTGGAGCCAGACCACTGGCACACCAAGCCCGACAGGTCCACATTTACAGCGGAGAATTGAATGAGGTACAAAGGAAGTACCAAATTCTGGTAGAGATAGAGTTGAGGGTGCCCACATCTAAGGAGAGGGCGTCAGATGCGCGACCGGTAGAGTTTTCATTGTATGAAGAAGCATTGCGGGCGGGGCTGAGGTTGCCCATCCCTCCAGTGGTGGTAGATATACTGAACCGATTGGAGGCAGCGCCGGGGCAGCTGATGCCCAACGCATAGAAAATTATAATGGCCTGCGCGATCACATGGCGATGGGCGACCGAGGGAGCAGCGATGATAATGGAAGAATTCTTTTCTTGCTACAAAGCGTCTGGTCAGCAAGAGACATGGGTGACTTTACAGGCAATAGCAGGTAAGGCGTTAGTAGCCGAGCTACCATCATCT